AAACACTTTTTAATTACATAAATTAGCCCATTTTAGTTGGGTTTTTTGCTCAATGGGGCGGGGGGGGGGCCAATGGGGCGGGGTCGGTTGGGTTGTGTTGTTGAGTTTGAGTACATTTCTATATCAGAGGCGCCTCTGTACATATACACTTCGGATTAAAATAATATGTCGATTAATTGAAATATTTAAACAAAATATCAAATTCAAAATAAGAAAATATGGTTTAGTTTCACATTAATTGTAAAAATAAAAGTATTTGTATTTTCGACATTTTAATTTTCGACATTTTGTATTTTCGATATTTTGATTTTCGATAAAAAGTGTTCGATATTTTGAATTCGATAAAGTGAATTTCGATATTATGAACGTCGATATTTTATTTTCGATAAATTGAAAATTCGATTAAATAAAATTTCGATATTATCATTTTCAACATTTTAATTTTCGATATTTTGATTTTCGACATTTTGTATTTTCGATATTTTGATTTTCGATAAAAAGTGTTCGATATTTTGAATTCGATAAAGTGAATTTCGATATTATGAACGTCACCCCACTAGGGACCCTAGTCTAGGGTGTTTCAAAAAAACCTTTTTTTTTTCTCTCGGAACCACGCTCAAAAGTTTCGTATAGATATAAAAATGAGCCTGTGAAAAAATGAGTTTTTCGATTTTCCATAAGAATAACATAGGAAAAATTATTTTTGTTTCTTTTTATTTTTGTAACTAAAGAACAATTCTTATGATTTTTTGATAAATTTGATCCTTCTAAAGAAATTTAAGGTCAAAGTTCAAATTATACAAAATTTTTGTGTTTTTTAACTTATTTGGCGAGTCTGCCCGACTCATTTAAAAAATTTTGAAATATTTTTGTAGAGAATTGAACGCTGTTTTTCCGAACTTCCAGAGCTCAAAAACAATATTTTGATTCGTTTTTAGCACTTTGAACTAAAAAATCCAGAAAAAATCTGAGAAAACGACTAAATTGACGGTTAATTTCAGTTTAACCTTGAATAACTTTTAACCAAGTTTACTTACCGAAAAATGACTCTAGACCTTTTTTGTAGAGCGTTCAATTCTCTACAAAAATATTTCAAATTTTTTTAAATGAGTCGGGTAGTTAAAAAACACAAAAATTTCGTATAATTTAAACTTTGACCTTAAATTTGTTTAGAAGGATCAAATTTATCAAAAAATCATACTCTCTAAAAATGAATTAGTCAAAAATAACTAATTTAATAGTTATTAGTGACTGCTTTTTCACTTGTACCATGGTTAACCATGGAATACCATGGTATCCCAAAATTTTTCCCAATTCTTATGTAAAATTGTCCCCTAAATCCGAAAATACCGTCAAAAATTATGAAAGTGGAACAGTTTTTGAGATATAGTCAATTCCATCTTAAATTTAAAATTGACTATATATATATCTCAAAAACTGTTCTACTTTTTTAACTTTTTGGATAATTTTACATAAGAATTTACTATTATATTTTGGCATACCATGGTATTCCATGGTTTACCATGGTAAAAGTGAAAAAGCAGCCACTTATAACTATTTAATTAGTAATTTTTGACTAATTCATTTTTAGAGAGTAAACAACTTTTTTTGTAGAGCGTTCAATTCTCTACAAAAATATGTCAAGAACTTTATAGTACGACTTATTGTTCGTTAGTTACAAAAATAAAAAGAAAAAAAAATAATTTTTCCTATGTTATTCTTATGGAAAATCGAAAAGTGCGATGCGGAGCATCTTAATTTTGAAATTAAGAGCTCATTTTTTCACATGCTCATTTTTATATCTATACGAAACTTTTGAGCGTGGTTCCGAGAAAAAAACAAAAAAAAAGGTTTTTTTGAAACACCCTATTATACACGTTTTTAGGAAAATACATAATACCATTTATGCCCTTATACCTTAGATTTATTAAACAAAACACTTAGATTTATTAAATATTTTATCAGTATTAATACTTTAGCTTAATTAAAATAATTAAACTGTTATTGGGTTTGGGTTATTGTTATTGGATTAAATAAACTTGTTTGTCAAATCTATGGTAATTTTTTTTTATTACTTGGAATAATTAAGCAGTTTATTTAATATTAAAGGTATAGCTTAATTAATTAACTCAAATTAACATAGACTTGGCGGTACCAATTCTGAAGAACTGTTTTGCCAGCTATACTATAGTGTAAATAAATGAATAAATAAACCTATATGGGGGTTAAATAAACTTTTTTGTTATTTCTTTTAACTAAATATTTACGCTTATTAATACATATTTACCAAGGATAATTATGGAGCAAACATGCAAAAACCGATAAATCCATTTTAACTTATTCTAAAATATTGGCCAAAAATGTGTACAGCCCACACCCCCAACTAAAAACTATGGGTTGTCTCTGTATCGGTTTTTCCTTAAAAAGCTGTGCTAAGTTAAAAGAGTTTACCAAAATTAGTAAGAATACTCTTAAAATGTAAAAATGGACTTATCGGTTTTTGCATGTTTGCTTCACAATTAATCAATTTAATTGATTCAATTAGTTAATGAATATTTTAGTAACTAAAATTAAGGTTAAATAAAAAAGTTTATTTAATAAAAATAAAAAATTTATTATTATCTAAAACTAAGCAAATTGGCCCAGTTAATAATAACATTTCAACATTTATATAAAACATTAAATAAAAAAATATTAATACTTTAAACCCTAAACTAACTATAATAAATAAAATAAAAATTTAACCTAATTAAACCTGTGAATGTGATTTTTTTGCTTGTATATATAAAATTCTTTAAGTTCAAGTTACAATTGTAGGTTGAACTTACAATTGTAACCTATATCCCTGTTGCTCGTTATCTCAAAAGTATTTGAAAAACTGAACAACAGACTAATCTCGCATCAAAGAAAAATTATTATTTATCTTCCACACAGTTTGGTTTTTTGCCTAAGACATCAACTATAGATGCAATACCTATATAAATCACTTAAAGACATTTTAGACAATTTAGAAACATTATAATCTATACTATAGATCTATAGATTCTATAGATCTGATGACCTCAAACCTCAAACCTCTGATGACCTCAAACCTCTCCAACAGAAAACTAAATCCATTAAAGATTGTTTTCTATGCTATACATTTTCAGATAGTATAAGTCTAAAGATGGGTGTTCCTCAAGGATTCATCCTGGGCCCAACCTTGTTCTTAATATATGTAAATGATCTCTATAACCATTTGTCCAATGTTTGTCAATATGCCGAGGACACGTCCAGTCTAGCAATTTCTGGTACTATCACTAAATTGTCTTTTAGTATTCCAGAAAAACTTTATTGTGCAACTGCAAAGCCTTTTAGTTATGTCAAACCCAAATTGTCAAAGTATTAAATTCCTAGGCGTCAACATTGCTTGTAATTTCAACTGGGAATCCCATTGGCCATGCCTCGACAAGTAAACATAATAAAGATGTCATATCACGTCAGAACTAAAAACTAACAAATCCTTAATCCCGTGTGTCGAAATGGATAGCGTCGCGACGCCCAATTTGCTCCTGCATCGGCACACGACCTTTTGTTTATCCGTATTGACGGCGAATTAAGTGTTTAATTCGCGACGAATCGTGTTAGGATGTAATTTGACGGGTCTTAGGTGGCCGGGCTTTTTATCGTGGACAGACGCTAACGTTAATATTTGGGCCGCGTGGCGGCCACGCGATACCGATACCGGGGAGACTTCTCTTTGACGTCTACATTTATTCGGCGGATGGAAATATCGGGGCCTCCTTGACACATCTCCGACACTATCAGTGCGATTTTAATATTGGTCTCGAGGGGGTTTTTGAGGGTGCCGAAATCGTCAAAGGAGCGATGTGATGAGACTTTTTATTAATGTTATAGGGGTTGCGTGGGAGATTTTTTTGTTTTTATTAAACCTTAAATGTCCATACAATCTGGTTAAAATTAACAAATATTGTTTTACTGTGTATCTTCTCTCTAAAAATGAATTAGTCAAAAATGACTAATTTAATAGTTATTAGTGGATGCTTTTTCACTTGGTTAACCATGCAATACCATGGTATCAAAAAATTTAACAGTCAATTCTTATGTAAAATTGTTTCCTGAATCTGCTTTACTTTCATAATTTTAAACAATAATAAGCTGTTAAATGTCTGGGATACAAATTGCTGTGGACTAAAGTTATTAGTGACTGCTGTTTTACTTTTAAAACTAGTTTTCTTTAGAGTATTTTTATCACTGAATATGTTTTGTGATTTTGTTTCTTTGGTAATTTAATAAATATTTTTTATACCTAATTTAAGCGGTTTTTTTTTAAATTTTTAATTACATATTGCCAGTTTATCGCAAAATATATATTTTTTAAATTAAAGGGCTTAAAATTAAAATATTTAATGTATAATATGGAATTGACTATATCTCAAAAACTGCTCCACTTTTATAATTTTTGACGATATTTTCGGATTCAAGGGACAATTTTACATAAGAATTTGCTGTTAAATTTTGGGATACCATGGTATCTTATGGTTAACCATGGTACAAGTGAAAAAGCAGCCACTAATAACTAAACAGCCACACAAAAAAAACAAAAGTACCCGGAACTGGGTATGTATTTGGACGCGCTGAATCCGAATCCGATGTCAAAATTCGCCCTGCACGTCTGAGTTTTAACCCAACCTCAAAAAACTGAAAAAAAAAATGTTTTTTCTGTTCTAGGGTTGAGGCATATTAATAGTTATGTTTTTCCACGTGTCAAATCAAATCTCACCTAAACCTAGGACTCTTCATTTCACAGTTCACGATTTTTATTAAGTTGTTTTGAAATCTACATCGACATTATGTCAAAATCACTAATATTTTCCAGCCTTATTCTTTTGCACTATATCGTATTCTTTTTTCTTCGAAAGATCTGTTTAAGGGGTTACGCCTTATTTTTTCGCCCCGAACATTAATTTCTCTTTTCAGTATCCAGCAAAAATGGGCCATCATGACTTCATCCCATCTACCCTGATATCGTTGTTCCAATCCTTTGATATCTTGATGGAACCGTTCTCCTTGTTCTTCACTGTAGTCTTCAAAATTTTCGGGGTACCTATCAAGGTGTGAATAAAGAAAGTGTAATTTCAAATTCATTAAATATTCCAATTTTTATAACGATATCAGGGTAGATGGGATGAAGTCTTGGCCGATTTTTGCTTGCCTTGCATTCAAGGACGACGTGTGAGATTATTTTTGACAAAAAAATTGGATTTGGTACGTTGAACAACATTACTATTGATATGCCTCAACCTTAGAACACACAGTAAAAAAAGTAGTGAAGATATTTAACTCTAGTAAACTCTAAAAACATTCTATATGCGACGAATTTTTTTAGAGTTATATATTCACACTGATGATAGTGTAATAATTCATATTTCTAGGGTAAATATTATAACGGTATTTAGTGTCACATTTAATTTATTAGTGCATAAATTTAATACTACTTTGTGTTAAGGGTACTCTGGGTAATGTTTTGTTAATTAGAGTATTATTTTGCACTATTTTTATAACATTTATACTCTTATTAATGAGTTATTTAATCTTTTAGAGTAAACAAACTACTCTATTTTTAGTTAATATGCATACCTTTTTTTACTTTGATTAGTAAACTTTACATTCAAATCGAGTATAAATTACTCTATCCTTAGTTGCTATAAAGAGAGGAAAATTAAAAACATATATTTAAATTCAAAAGTATATTTTGTGAAAAATAACAAAAATAAAAAATCATATAACTAATCTTAACAAAAAAATAAAAATAATGTATAATTAAAATATTTAAATTAACTCGAACAAATGTTTCTTTTAAATCAATGCATCCATTTTGAATGGGATTTGTATATAATTGGCTCGTTTGTGTTATTATCGGTTTTTAGACATAATGCCTAATTACATTTTAAGTTTTTACAATAAAATATCTTTAATATAAATAATAATAATGTACCTATTTTATACGTATTATGCAGCGGCACCCACGCACAAGCGAACCATTAAACAGCCCTTGGAAACAGCACTAAACTAGTTAACAAATTTATAGACGCTTTGCAATCCCCACCACAAATAATAACCCTAATAGTGTAGATTTAACTCTTTTTAGTGTAAAAATATACTCGCTTACTGTTTACTTTACTCTCATCAAAAACAATAATACAAGAGGAAAACTAGGGAAATTTTAACGCAAATAGCGGTTGTAAAATACTAAATAAATAAAATACTCAACTCTAAAATATTTACCAACTACACTAGCTACTTTACTCGATCCATATTTGTTACTGTGCAGAAAAAACAAACTTTTTCAGTTTTTTGAGGTTCGGTTGAAACTATGTCACCTACCCAGATCCGGGTACTTTTGTTGTTTTGTGTGGCTGTGCTATTAAATTAGTCATTTTTTACTAATTCATTTTTAGAGAGTTATAACATGAAAATAAGAAATCGATACACAGTTTAGCAATAATAAACGATAACACCCCGTGTAGTCTTGGCAATTTAATAATTTTTTACTCGAAAACCAGACGTCAATCTTTCAAACTTTGTACATGTTTTTGAAATAGACTATCTATATTGTACAACAACCTAAAAATTTTTCAACATTTTTAAAATACTTTTTTAGACTAATATTGACAGTGTAATTTGTATCCCTTTAAAACTGTTTTTCTTAAGCTTATTACATTTAATAAACTTCAAAATGTATCCCCAACAAACTAAGGGATTATATTCTCCACTCCAAACTTAATAATCATAATGCATACAATCTGATATGATCTCGGCAGTCATAAAAACTATTAACTAACAAAGAACGCAATATAAATATGAATGAATATATTCATTAGCCGCGTCGGCCGGGCTAACAAATGCGAATTTAAATATTGTTTTAATCGCGGGAGGCACCCCCAGCGAGATGTGTAAGTAGTAGTACGCGAACAAAAGAGTGTCGATCATAATACGCCCCAAGTTTAAAATACGCACGGTATCCATGACAGTTAATTCCGAGGTTCGAATCGGACCCCTTCAGGAAGTGCCGGAGCTCCGCGAATTTTCTCACTGACTCGCTGGGTGCGATTCATCATAAACGTCGCGATGAAGGGTGCTAATAGTTATGGGCTATTTATTGTCATTTTAATGCCCGCGGGGACGCCGAAAACTATGTGGCGCACATTTAAATTTCAAGAAATGATGGTCTTTTAGTTTTCACTATGTTGTGGCTTGATTTAGGATTATTTTATTTAATTTTTTATTTAATATAACTTATTTCTTACCCAAAAGCAGTATGTAGTTTATTTAATAAATATTCAGCAGCATTTAGCATGGAATTAAATATCTTAAGTGTGGCATGCTAAACTGTTATATAGCAAGTCTTTTTCATTTGTATTTAAGTTACTAAAATTTTTTCTTGCAAAAAATAAATAAAAACTTACTAAATACAAAAAGCTGTAATACCCTTTTGTATTTATTTACTCATCCAGCTATTAGCTTAAACAATGATTAGAAAATTTGGTACCTATTTTATAAACTCCATAACCACAATATTAATTTTTTCATCGGTTTTTTCTTCCCGTTTACTCAGATGAAATTAGGACAAGTTCACAGGTTAAACTTAAAACATTCAATTTGTGTAAATAAATCCAAAAGCACTTCCCTTAGTTAAGATATTTACAATTTGAGCACATAACCTAAAATTTGAAAGAAATGCACTAGATTCTGTCATAAAAGTTGACAGATTTTGTTTGAATTTACCTTCCTTACAAAAATGACATAATGAACAATAAATAAAAACGCCAAATTAACAATTTGCATTGTTGATTTTCAAATTCAAATTCAAATATTTTTATTAAGTATGTAAAATTATTATATACATTAACAACAGTATAAAATGTACACAAAAGGAAGGGATTAAAGTTCATTTAACTCAATCTACCACCCCACCTTATTACAGCTAATATACCTAAAACTACAATAATTAATATGAGACTTGATTCTTCAGATCTGTAAACATTATTAAATAAATTTTCACTTATTACATTTTTAAATGTAGGTTTGAACAATGAGGAATTTTGAATTCTTTGTAGTTTTTTTTGTTTTGGTTTACAAGTATATATCTAGTTGACTTTTTATCTCAGGTTTAGTAGAAGCTTACACTGTTCAAAATTTCATGACCATTTTAACACCAAATTAACACTATCCATGGTCTATATCAATATAAACCAAAATGGTGTTAAATATAGTTCGTTGGTCCGGTGTAAATTCAAATACTAAAATAGTGTAAATTTAACTTTCACACTGTATTAAAATAAATTTTACCTGGTGTAAATTGAACTTTTTTTCAGTGTTAAATATTATGTGTTTTGGTCAAATTAAATGATTCTACACAGAAAAAAAGGAAACAGGAAGTTCCTTGACGCATTACTAGTATATTACCAATGGTATTATTCCAGAAAATTGAACATTCAACTCGCTAGAGATAATGTTTTTAGTGCGTTCCACCAACTTAAAATACTTCAAGTATTGACAGCTGTTTCCACCTATTTAAGGTCTCTTTAGTAACGAACAACTTGTAGTGTCACACCAAAGCAAAGGCCTACCTGAGCTTATATGCTCTTCATGTAAGTCAACAGAGGCGAGATTTAAGAACATCACGTGATCCACACCGCCTTTGCCGCGATTGGTACACACTATGCAATCGGGAATGCACGGCAAATTGTTTTAATAGTTTTAACAGAGTGCTTTAGGTTGAAGTTACTCTTATTTTACAAACAACATATTTAGTAAGCTAAACCATACAGCGGGTTGGTTTCAATAAAGTTTTCTGGGTAAATTTAACCAATTTAAAAAAATAAAATAACTATCTGGTTTAGTACCGTCAAAATAATCTTCCCACAGTTGATAAAAATAAAAAAATACAAAAATAAATACTTATGGGTCAACTAAATTAACATAATTAAATGAACTATTCCTTTTTTTCTGTGTAGGTGCACTTCTCAAATATTTTTAGATAAACACCGTTTTGGTGTTTGCTGTATATAACATTTTCAACCATAGATCATGGTGTTTATATTAACACCACTTGGTGTTGGATTTTGACACCATTTTAAGATTACTCTTTACACCACAGATATTTTAAACAGTGTACTTAAAGAAATAAAACCTACATCCAAACAATTTAATTAATTGCTCTAAATAAATATTTCTTTTCAATTAATAACAACAATCAGTTTTTTTCAAGAAACTTATGATTTACAACCAAATAATAGTATTTTATATTGTAAACAACCAGTTACTACGAATGAGAAAATTTTACTTCATACAAGAAAACCTGTTTCAAATAAATGCATTTTCCTAAATCAAGAGATTACTTTTCTCTGGTTAAGAGAAGTTAAAATCTTCATCGTAGAAGAACCTAGATTTTTTGCTTTTTGTTTCAATTGAATTATTTCATTGTTTAGAATTAGTGGTTCTGCATTTAGATTAATAAAGGTTCTAAGATATTTTTTTCCGATTAGTAATGCTTCACTCTTTCTAGCGTTGAGCATCAGTCCATTGCTTGCACAGCACTCTGATAAGCGTCTCAACTTGAGACTCTCAAGTCAGCGTTTACAAGTTGTGAGCTTATCGCGTAATCGTTTTTATTAAAGCTTAGGTACAGTTGAATATCATCCGCATATAAATGTGCTGTTGAATGTTTTATACAGCTCACGACGTTAAATATAAATATAGAGAAGATCAGGGGGCCAAGAATACTTTTTTGGGGCACTCCGCGATTAGCAACCAATTTATCAGAGAGGACATTATTGCATATGACCAGTTGTGTGCGATTGCACAGATAAGATTCGAGAAGAATGGTTTGTCATTTTTACAGAATCTAGAAACGCTGCTTGTTACCAACCGTACCGTAATAAATTAAATTATTCTACTACTGCATCAGAAACAAAATGTCCCATTGGGTTTTCCCTTAGAACTATCTCTTCTAGATATCAATTGATAACATTATATGAGTATATTTTATTTTAAGTATCTGTAAGTCATATCTAAAGATATACGTTATCATATTTGGTAAAT